CGTTTTGTTTTGTTCCTCGATAAACCAACATGATACATTTTTTTCTCTATGCCTAATTTACTACCTTTTAAAAAATACTTCATTTAGCTGCACCAAATCTGCCTAGTACCATAACCATTCAACCGCCACAATCCATAATTTGTGTTGAGTGGACACCAGGATTTAATGGAGGAGCATCACAAAGTTTTATAGTTCAACATTCTACTGATGATAAAATATGGGTCAATTCGTCCACAATACCAAATGGTATCAATAATGACCGAGTTGACTATTGTATAGAAGGATTAGAACCAGATACTAGTTATTATATCAGAGTGATAGCTAGTAATAAATATGGTGAAAGTATGACAGGTATGATTTGTCAGATAGAATCTTATTAACTTCGAGACAAAATAGATCTTAAATACTGGACATCAGACATTCGTGACGTAAGTATTGTTGGCACAGCCTTTTGGAAAGTAAAAATAATCATGTTATTTTGAATTTTAGCTAGTTTTCTGGGATTTAACAAGTCCGCCGACTGCAGTAAGAATATTAATAGTGGTGACACCAATGATATCAATACTAGTTATAACAATGGACTTGGTGCTGGTATTGGAATAGGTGTAGGGATATCTATAGCTATAGCAGTGATGGTTGCTACAGCAATATTTATTTATAGATATTGGTCAGGTCTGAGATTAATATTATTTGCTAAGATTCTGGTTCTGGCAACACACTTAAAAATTGATATTTGCTATGTATGTTGATGTTTTTCCATATCAAAATTCTTTAAAGATGGTAATTAAAGTTAACAGATTGCAACTAATTAATGTGTTAACTTGGATTATTGCTAGAAAAGATTGGAAGAAGCAAACATGTTCTCTTCTTTTATTTAAGGCAAACGAAAGAAAGATGAAGAAAAGTAAGTTTTTACATTCGAAAAAATAAACGTGTTTTTAATAACTGATCTGGCAGTTTAAGATTAATTTGATGCTAAATTCTCTGCTTACATAGTTTTGTTTCATTCCCTTATATCAATTTATAAATTCGTTCTGTCCGAGCGAAGGTAACCAAAAAAAGTGACACAATGTTAGTCAAGCAATCAACACTGTATATAATCTTAGTTTATTGAATTGTAATCTCAGTCATATATATATATATACTTATATTATTTTATAGCTACGCTGGGATTAATACTACGACAAGATCTGGTAAATAGTTTCTTTTCATTTGTGTCTTTTATATGTCTTTCTAATTCAAAGTGTTAGGCAATTGTTAAGAGGCACATAGAGAGTTGATAACCTTCAGCTATACTTTGTAGGCATATTATTTGTGCAATGAAAAGGAAAATCTACTATTGAAGTAGACATTAATTACATTTTATGTAAATTTTAAGATAATTTGGTACATTAAGAAACAGTTGATATTGTGTTTGATAAAACTGCATGTAGATCATTTATAATATTTAGATAGCTTGCCAGGCAAGGTAATATAAACCCACTGGCAGAGTTGATTTAAAATAAAAATATTTGGCAGTACAGTAACAATCACCAGTATGAAATATTCAAACTTCAGTCATACACTTCTTTTGAGTTTTTTGGGGTGATACTGTATAACATTACGGAATTTCATCAAAGTACATCAAAAATTGTGCCTTCCAGAGTGTTTATCTTCCATCTTTGGTTGATTACAAACAATTGTACCCAGTTTTGTGAAGAATTGTGCCTTCTAGATTGTTTATGGGCCAAAAATTGAACGCTTTTTCAAGAACAAGGGCAATATTTAAAACTAAATATTTTTCGATTTTTCTGATTTTCAATAGGGTTCATCCTTGGTTGATTACAAACAATCGTACCCAGTTTTGTTAAGAATTGTGCTTTCTAGAGTGTTTACGAGCAATTGTGGACGAACCGACGGATGGACATGGGTGACGACAAAAATGTAGTACAATACTTAAAGGACGGTTATCCAGATATTTTAACAAAAATACATTAATTTATTGATCAAAATATCTTTTAAATGAATTTAAGTGCACAAATAGATGAATATTGTATTCTTTCACCAAAAATCACTTGTCATTTTTCTATCGATGATCTGAAGGCGTGACAACAAGAATGACGAAAATCATTGCAAATGTATTTATAACTAAAATTTTAAATTTAAATTTTAATTTGTATTAGTCACAAAGTTCTTTTCTATTTGTTTTAGATGACACACAAACATACCAAGAATTAGATACAGTCAACAATACAGCTAGAATACAATCAGATAATAGTTCTAATGTTGATAGAAACGATGCTAATATAGATGATATTAGACCATATGCTAATCTTGGTAAAAGTTAACAGAGGTACAAATATCAGGTTTTACCAAATTGATGTTTGATGATGAGGAATAGATAATTATGATACATTATGCTATTTATGATCTTTACTAGTTCGTTGAAAACTTTTAATCAATCTTTTTCTTCGGTTTGTGTTGATTGATATGTAGATTTCAGGTGTGAAAATTTACCATTTTATATTGGTTTGATTTTTTCAACATTTCATTTAATAAAAATGACAATTACTTTTCAGAATGAAGTTATGGAGAGATAGTTTGGAAATACAAACTGTGAAAAATGTACTACAGATTGACCATGAGGCGTGTATTTCCTTTTTCCTTTTTCTTAGAATAATTTAATTATAGTGTCTGTTTATTTGTTAAACTTTTTTCAATATCAAAATATTTTTACAGTTAAAATAGTGCCCAATACATTAAATGTGGGGCGATATAGAAATCATTTTATACTATATATTGTATAATTGGCATCTTTATCACCATTTGCCATCGCCAAAAGAATAACTGGTCTGGCTAGCGAGCCCAAATCCATTAAAAAAAACTTCGTAACGGGTCTTTATTGCTCGAATGCCACCGTAAGATACACTCGGAATTATTATTAAAATCAACATTTTTAGTCAATATTCCTATCACTGTCTCACCGCATTCTTCTCTGAACTCCTCTAAGGGTGTTGTACGGCACCCTGACCTTAGTGGTTGTTCTTCAGAAGAAATGAAGAAAGAACTAAAAGATATTGGAGTCACGAACGTTGATCGAATTTCCATCCGTCGTGACGGCCAACTTATACCTACCAATACATTTATTCTTCTTTTTGACAGACCCGAATTACCATCAGAAATAAAAGTAGGTTATCTAAATATTAAAGTGTCACCTTTTATTACTAACCCTCTCAGGTGTTTTAACTGTCAGCGCTTCGGGCATGGAACTCGGACTTGCAAAAGTCCGTTGCGATGTGCGCGTTGTGGCAAGTCTGCGCATGACAGCAAGGATTGTAGTGATACTCCTTGCTGTTGTAACTGTGATGGAAACCATGTCGCTTTTTCCAAAGACTGCCCTAAGTGGAAACTGGAAAAGCGCATCCAAAAAATTAAAGTAGAAACCAGAGTTTCCTATCCCGAAGCGCGAAAGGCTGTAGAGGGAGAAGTTTCCTCTACTCGTTCTGGAAAGACTTTCGCTAGTGTTGTCAAGGCTTCTACTAGATCCATAGAATGCCAAACCGACATCTCATGGCTGAAACGTTTACCATCTGCGTCTTTAGCCTTGATACCATCTGATCCGGAGGCAACTGCATCTACATCATCAGCTACTCAGACACCTCAAATTGAGAAGTCAAGAGATGGTAATAGTAATGCAAGTCAGCCAGCTAAAGACGTTCAACCGAAAGGGACTGGTAAACTGTCAAGACAAGCTAAACATAGTGAAAGTCTTTCCAAAAATGACAAGATAACCAAGAAACATGGATCCGTCTCCAAAAATGGAGGTAGAGATCTTTTGAAGTCTGCCATATCTGATAGTATAGATATGGAGGCTTCCGAGGTTGATGCGGAAGTTCTCAACCCCCCTTACCGCAAACCTGGTAGTCCAGTCAAACCATCCTGACAATGCATCAAAAAAATAATATAATACAATGGAATTGTCGAGCTTTAAGTCATAATCTTAATGAAGTTCAGCTATTAATGCAACAATACAATCCGTTGGCTATTTGTCTCCAAGAGACTTTCCTCAAGCCAATGGATTTGCGTTTAGTGCCATTTAAACATTTTGTTTCCTACCACCATTATGGCACTGGTGATGATAAGGTCTCGGGCGGTGTTTCTATTATTGTCAATAGGAATGTCGCCCAGTCCGAAATCACACTCAGTTCTCCTCTGCAGGTAATAGCCGTGCGAGTTACACTCCACGTACCTATTACCATTTGTTCCATCTACTTACCACCAAGCTTATCATTGAAACTGAGAGAATTGGATGACCTTGTTGCCCAGCTTCCTTCTCCTTACATTTTGTTAGGAGATTTCAATGGTCACCATTCTTTCTGGGGCAGCTCCGATGATAATAGCAAAGGAAAATTAATAGCTGACTTTATTTATGACAATGATCTTTGCATCTTTAATGACGAATCGCCTACGCATTTCTGCTCAAAAAACAAAACTTTTTCTCATCGAGAAATGAAGTTGTTTAGTGTCGCTCTCGTCTTGGACATACTCACCTCACCAACTGTTATTTGCTCAAGCGAGAGCCTCAACCAGTCTGTGATCACTGCCAGATCCGCCTGACAGTGAAACACATTCTGATTGAGTGTAAGCATCTCAAACCTATAAGATCACAGCACTACCGTGTTGTTTCTTTAATTCAGCTTTTTGCGCAACCTTCTCTTAGAGAAGGTTGTGGCTTTTTTAAAACAAACAGGTCTTTATTTTAAATTTTAAATAGATTAGTCATTGTTTGTTTTAAATATTTTGTTTGTTTTTAATACCACCATGTGGTGTATTACTTGTGATATTGTTTTTAGTGTTTTTTTTTAGTCATTAAATGACTTTTTCTGTGATATGGTTTTTATCGCCTTTTTTTGTTGTCACTATGTGACCTTTCTGTGATATTGATAGGTGTTTTATTGTTTAAGTTTTTTTATTATTTTAACGTATTCTGGAGCTATATAGCCCGTTAGGTGCTAATGCTCCTTAATGCATTTCATTTCATTTTCATTTCATTTAGACGGGGGGTTGATGGCTCTCTGTATGTTGATGACTTTCAGATGTGTTATGGCTCTACAAACATGCAGACGATTGAGCGTCAGTTGCAGCTTTGCTTAAACAACTTACAGCAATGGGCAACTGACAATGGATTTAGGTTTTCGAAATCCAAGACCGCCTGCATGCATTTCTGTAAACGTAGAGGATTACACCTTGACCCACAGCTACTATTGGACGGTGCTGCCAATCCTTTTGTAC